ACAGTATGTCATGCATAATTTCATGTTTACATCGATTACATTTGACAACAGAGAAATAGATACATTTGAGCTAGTAATACAAATAAATACAAAGAAATGAAAGAAAAGGGTGTCCCGAAAAACCCTCAAGGGCTTGTTAGGAGGGGATCACCAGAGAGACAAAAAAATTGTTTATATATATTAAAACAAAAACATAAACAAAACAAAATAAAATAACAGTTGTATACAAATGCATCATACTAACGACAGGCTGAGGGGGTGTGGCTGTTGCGACGCCACACTCCAGCACTCAACAAAGCCGAATGACAAGATAATTTACGTTATTTAATTTGATACAAAGGTGAGTTCTGGTTTTAAAAAAAGAATCAAACGAAACATACACTGAATGTTCAAAATTACTAATAAATGTCATTTGCCAAACAATTTTGGTAGAAATTGCATGGCTGAGTAATGAGCATAGAAAGATTAGGAAATCAAGGTCAGTAGCCCCGACACCATTTGTGTAGTCCCACATACATCTTTCCGTGTACAGTGCTTGTTACTTTAACAAGACTGGGCTAAATTTATTATGATTTTGATGACTCCAGAACTTTGCAGTACACGCCAATACTTACATGCTACGTGATCAACTTTTTCTGATCCATTCCACACATTTTCTTTCACAATGCAATCGGATGACCAAAACTCACCTTTATCTTTAATGCTAAGTTTTGCCAAAAAGTAGATATATGTAAGTACAGACTTTCTATGAGCAGCAAGCTTAATTTATCACATGTTTCAATTATTTTAATATCAGTGATCTGTACATTTGTAATCAAAGATTACATTCAGCATTGAATTGGTAATTCCTTGGAAAAGATTGGCTCTTTAACAAATCTTGGGGCTGTGTTCTACACCCTTCCATGATAAATGTTAACACAAACGGATTGTCTTATCTAATGCGGCCTACACAGTCCAATGCTTCTTCCACACCTTTAGTTGATTAAGATGGTGGATGCTCACAACTTCTCCATTAGTTCCACATCTTCGGTAGACAAGCAACTATATGTAACCGATGAGGGCGCTATAGATTTTTCTCCATTCGACGACATTGAGAGATTGATAGTATTGTGATATAGACTACCATATAGTGGAGGGGGAGCCGGAGGGATGTAGTGGGAGAGACACGGTGTGTTTGTGTGTGTGTGAGGAAGAGAGAGATGAGAGAGAAAGAGAGAGAGAGAGAGAGAGAGAGAGAGAGAGAGAGAGAGAAGAAAGAGAGGTGGAGAGTGGGAGCAAGTGGAAGGGGAATTTAAATGGAATATGCATAGGGATATAGGGACATAAAAAGAGAGTTGAGTTGAGTTTCTTTTATTTATACACGGTTAAAGCCCGAAACAGTTCGCAGTCAGGGCCGTGCTGATAAAAAGCAACATAATCATGACATATAACCCAAAGTAATATAACACTGACAAATTTGCAACCATAACACAACAATAAAGAAAATAAGCTAAAAACACATATTAGTTAATTAAGACTATATTGATAGGCCTAAAAGATAAACATTTGAAATAAGTTATAATCATCAACATCTCTGTCGGTATATTATATATATATATATATATATATATATATATATATATATATATATAGTTTTTAAAAAACATAGTGTCAAAAGATATTAAATACGTTAAGAACATATGTATGTATTTATGTAAAATATTAAATAATTAAAAACTTTAAAACAAAAACAAAATTAAACACAATATGCATGTAACATGTACAAAACTATGCATTACTCATATTATACTTTTGAAATTAGGACAAATTCGTATTCCATATTGTGTAGAAGTAAAAATGAAGTATGGAATAATAATAAATATCTAAGAACATATGAAAATGGATCAGTTTAATCTTACATAAACACTTTTAAAAAAGTTACCATCTCCCCCACACAGTCTTATTTCGTATTACGACAGCTTTGCCTTATTCAGTATAGCACCCATATGACAATAGGCCTACTTTGAACCATGCAAAACATATATTTTTTTTAGCACTGATCATAATGTATTCAACTGTTATATTCTCTCTATGAATTTGCTTAAGGCATATCATAAAACACTTATTTTTCCACATCCATTACCCACTTCCGTTATCCTACCATCAATATTCTTTGATCTAAGGTGTACCTAAGTACTATTTTTAATGACTTTGTAATACTATTGTATTTTGTGCAGTATCCTTGTGTTAATACTTATTTAAATTGCACTCAATTCAGCCAAAAGGCTGCCATGTACAATGTTTTTATACCACAATGAATAAATCATGATTTAGCACTACATAATGTGGCAAGTTATTCCATGTTAAAGCCCCTCTATTTAAAGATTTGTTTCATAGTCTCAGTCTTTGGTCTTATTTTTTTTTACATTATACAGACTTGAACGTGTATTGTATGTATCATGTATGGCCAGCAGATATAAACCTGCCTACTAAATATTCAGGAGCTTGTTTTGAGACAATCTTATACATCATAATTGCTAAATTAATTGTTCTGCTATTTTCAAGTGTTTTTCAGTTTAGACTTGTTAAATTTTCATTTGATGAGGAATATGACAGAGAGAGAAGGAGGGGAAAAAGTGAGGGATAGACAGACTGAGAGGGAAAGAGAGAGAGAGAGAGAGAGAGACTAAGAGAGGGAGAGAGAGTGTGAGAAATAGAGAGAGAAAGAGAGAGAGAGAGAGAGAGAGAGAAAGACTAACAAATAAACCATCCATATAAAAGCTGAATATAATATTGTTATTATTAAACAAATCGCAATAGAAGGCTTGATACCTGACGTCATTGTCTTGGGTAACTTCTTTGCTAGTTCCACGCCTTTAGTTGACAAATAACATCATTTTTGGACGATGGTGGCGCTCTAGAGGGGGAGGGGTAAATCGAATGAGGGATAGACAGAGAGGGAGAAAGAGAGAGAGAGAGAGGGGGGAAGAAAGAGAAAGGGAGAGTGGGGGCTAGTGGAAGGGGAAGTTAAATGGAATATACATAGGGATATAAGGACATAAAAAGAGAGATATATGACAGAGGGAGAAAGAGGGGCAAAAAGAGTGAGGGGTAGACATAGAGGGAGACAGACAGAGAGAGAGAGAGATTGGAAGAGGGAGAGAGAAGGGGGGTAGGAGACCATCAATAAACACAACTCAATAATGGGACTACCTGACTACTGACGTCACACTCTCGGGTAACTTCTCCGGTAGTTTCACATCTTCAGTAGACATGACATCATTTTTAGACGATGGTGGCGCTGTATACTTTCTCAGTTTGTAGCCCTTGACTGAACTTTTTACAAAATTATGAATTTTGAGGTAAAAAGAAGATTGCGAATGAGATTGACTAAGGGCGACAATGGACAAAAGAAGGGGGGTTTCAGAGAAAGAAACTGTATTTTTTGACAGTTTTACATCTTCCTTAGATGATTAAAGTTGGAATAAAATTATCATTCTTTTTAATTTCACAATTATACTTAGGATTCTCTCTCTCTCTCTCTCTCTCATTCTGTCTCTCATTCTCTCTATCTCTCTCTCTGTCTTTATCTCTCTCTTTCTCTGTCCCTACCTCCCCCTCTCTCTCTCGCTGTCTCTCTCTCTTCTCTTCCACTCCTTTATCCTCACCATACTCTCTCTCTCTCTCTCTCTCTCTCTCTCTCTCTCTCCTCTTCCACTCCTTTATCCTTACCATTCTCTCTCTCTCTCTCTCTCTTTCTCTGTCCCTTCCCCCTCTATCTCTCGCTGTCTCTCTCTCTTCTCTTCCACTCCTTTATCCTTACCACTCTCTCTGTCTCTCTCTTTCTCTGTCCCTCCCCCCTCTACCTCTCTCTCTCTCTTCTCTTTCACTCCTTTATCCTTACCATTCTCTCTCTCTCTCTCTCTCTGTCCCTTCCCCCTCTATCTCTCTCTCTCTCTTCTCTTCCACTCCTTTATCCTCACCATACCTCTCTCTCTCTCTCTCTCTCTCTCTCTCCTCTTCCACTCCTTTATCCTCACCATACCTCTCTCTCTCTCTCTCTCTCTCTCTCTCTCTCTCTCCTCTTCCACTCCTTTATCCTTACCATTCTCTGTCTCTCTCTTTCTCTGTCCCTTTCCCCTCTATCTCTCTCTCTCTCTCTTCCACTCCTTTATCCTTACCACTCTCTCTCTCTCTCTCTCTCTTTCTCTGTCCCTTCCCCCTCTATCTCTCTCTCTCTCTGTTCTCTTCCACTCCTTTATCCTCACCATACCTCTCTCTCTCTCTCTCTCTCTCTCTCTGTCCCTTCCCCCTCTATCTCTCTCTCTCTTCTCTTCCACTCCTTTATCCTTACCACTCTCTCTCTCTCTCTCTCTTTCTCTGTCCCTTCCCCCCTCTATCTCTCTCTCTCTCTCTTCTCTTCCACTCCTTTATCCTCACCATACCTCTCTCTCTCTCTCTTTCTCTGTCCCTTCCCCCTCTACCTCTCTCTCTCTCTCCTCTTCCACTCCTTTATCCTTACCATTCTCTCTCTCTCTCTCTCTCTCTCTTTCTCTGTCCCTTCCCCCTCTATCTCTCTCTCTCTCTTCTCTTCCACTCCTTTATCCTTACCACTCTCTCTCTCTCTTTCTCTCTCTCTCTCTTTCTCTGTCCCTCCCCCCTCTATCTCTCTCTCTCTCTTCTCTTCCACTCCTTCATCCTCACCATACCTCTCTCTCTCTCTCTCTCTCTCTCTTTCTCTGTCCCTTCCCCCCTCTATCTCTCTCTCTCTCTCCTCTTCCACTCCTTTATCCTTACCATTCTCTCTCTCTCTCTCTCTCTTTCTCTGTCCCTTCCCCCCTCTATCTCTCTCTCTCTTCTCTTCCACTCCTTTATCCACACCACTCTCTCTGTCTCTCTTTCTTTCATTCTCTCTCTCTCTCTCTCAATTATTAATCCTCAATTTCAGATTAACTGTTAAGGAGCAATATCGTTCGGACGATTGTCTGAGTTGACGCCCTCAGCGATCGATGATGCCATGCAAGTCAATACTCTGACAACTACCATGGCAGCGAAAGCGGCACCATCGTACTTGGAGCATACTCGCGGTAAACAAATTTGCTTTCTAAATTGATGTGTGCCAGTGTATAGCCATTATTGCCTTATTCTTTGTCACTGGATTATTAACAATTCTGTACCTATCGTCCTTATTTCCATGGTCAATATATATTCATCGTAGTCGTCGTCATCATCATCATCACGAACAGCATCATAATCATCCTTTTTGAAATGTATTCATGATATTGCAAGGAATAAGGCCACTGGCCTCGATCAAATACCAGCTAGTTTCGTAAACGATTCTATTGAATACATTGTTAAACCGCTAACTCATAATCATCAATGCGTCATTAAGAAAGGGGAAATTCCTGGTGCCTGGAAAAGGGCCCGGGTGACGCCTTTTCACAAAGGTGGTGATAGAGCTAATCCCTGCACCTATAGGCCAATAGAGAGAGAGAGAGAGAGAGAGGAAGAAAGAGAGAGACAGAGAGAGAGAGAGAGAGAGAGAGAGAATGGTGAGGATAAAGGAGTGGAAGAGAAGAGCGGAGAGAGAGAGAAGGAGAGAGAGAGAGAAGGAGAGAGAGAGAGAAGGAGAGAGAGAGAGAAGGAGAGAGAAGGGGAGAGAGGGGATATAAAAGAGAGAGAGGAAGAAAGATATAGAGATAGAGAGAGAGAGAGAGAGGGGGGATATAAAAGAGAGAGAGATAGGAAGAAATAGAGAGACAGAGAGAGAGACAGAGAGAGGGAGAGAGAGAGAGAGGGTGGAAGAGAGGATATGTGGCGAGTGGAAGAGGAAGATTTGGATTCAAGAGAGTGATATCAACAAATTATCTCATTAAAAAATTCTTTCTTTACATAAGTATTTAAACTAACATTACTATATACTAATAAACTAAACTAACATATACAGGCATATACGTATATTTATATTTGTGTTAATATATATTTCAATTCGTGACAATACACTTTAATTGCAGAATTGCATCCCATAATAATCTGGACTGATTCGTATTGCCCATGTTATTGGTTTGAATTGCTAAACTCTATCGATGAAATTTAAGTACCAAACATGTAAACTTACCAATACGTGCAATGGTCCTAACTGTCCAGAAATCCTAGAAAATATATTCTCGAAATCAGATTCTTGTTTTAGATCACACCGGACCGCCAAGACCTGGATCAAAATGGGGAAAATCTTTATTTCTTCATCAATAATTATGATTGGCCTTAATACGTTGTCGTATATACTGATAGAAATAGACTTTTGCATCCGGGAAAATGGTTTACAGTTCCACAATATTTACTGTAAAAATAGCTCCTCTTGATAAGGTGTGAAAATATTTTATTCCTGTATGCCTTCGCTATATTTTTATTTTTGTGTATTATTATTTTTGGGTATATGATTATTTTCAAGTTAGATTATTTCTTAGAACTAAACCATGAAGAACTCCTTCATGTGTTATGTTTTTTTTTCTCGACATGCTGAATATTGATTTTAGATCCAGTATAATATTCTCTATAAAATACCTGTTTTGAAATAAGTCCTTAACTGATACAGTCTCGAGCAATGTCATCAAGCTTCGATTGATTCTTTCCTACTAAAGCAAGGGAACATCCAAGAGATGCAAAGTGAACGGCCACCTCTTTACCTAGACTGCTCTCTACGCCTGAAAAGAGAAAAAAAGACAGATTTCAAAAACGAAACATGACAAAAGGGAACGCTGTTGCAACTCCCCAATTGTATTTACCCCTCTTTTTCACATCTCCAAACCTTTTCAAGAGGGGTTGTCAGTTTTAGAGGCGTTGGAAATGCATCCTAAATAATCATGTTTTCTCCTTCCCCTGGTACTTAGACACCTAACTAACTTTGCAACATTGCTTTAAATAAAACTACAACAATTAAGAGTTATAAATATCGGTCTCCACAATTTTTCATTTTATGCATGATCTCCCTTTTTTCATATTCGGTCTGCCTGTCTGTCTTGTCCTATATGTATTTCGGTTCTCCCTTCCCTCCCCTCCCCTCCCCATTCGCCCCCCCCCCCCCATCCGCCTCCTTCCCTTCCCTTCACTCCCTTCACTATAGGCCAAGGGAATAAATAGCTCTCTTTTACACACACAAACCACACAAATATAAAAAAAAAACAGACGGTTTATGAGTTTTCAAACTTAAGGCAACTGCATTTATATAAAATGTCATTCAATTTAAAAAGATTGAGACACATCATTACTCTACATGCTATATGATAATTATGTTGTTATCACCCCCTCATCTCCCCCAGAAATTCCTAACTTAGACCATACCCAAAGGCGGCTGAGAGCAATTTTTTCAAACTTTCATTAATGAGATTGTGCTTAAAACCCAATCATGATCGGTTATTTCCTCTAATAATCAGAACTAATCGGTCGCAATGTAACCTCAAAAAGATCTTTTACAATTTTGTTGGCTCCCCTGGCACGCTCGCAATGGAATAAGCAGACCATCATACACAAAAACAACATAATTATGATGACGAAGTAATATTTTGGACCACGTCAAGTTAAAATTCTGAAGATCAACCCCGATAATGTTGTAACAATGTTATCAATTTGTAACTTTTCGTTATTAGGTTACTTTTTGTGGGTGCCCCTCCCTTTTTCAGAAAGTGCCCTTTTTTGTTGATGCTTCCCCCTCAGCCTGCCTGTAAAGACACGATATACCTATTATGTGGTCATGTATAGCAACTGAAATGTAGACTAGCAAGCATTTGAGTCAAAACATGGCACAAAGTAACTGATCAATCAACATTTAACGCTTAATTAGACATCTATAAGCAAAAAATACAATCATGGTCACGGTAACCGCATTTTTAACAAATCCTTTTTTTATTTACATCATTTGTCCTCGTTTTACTCGCCACAAAATGACGTCATGCAATGAGAATTTCAGTACTTATTATTAACTGAATAAAAAATTGATTCATGATATTTCCGCTCACTTACAGAACGCTCTTCTTATTGGTTCAAAGCGCGCATACTTTTAGCATAATATTGATTTTGTGCGATGCTCACTTACAGAACGCTCTTCTTATTGGTTCAAAGCGCGCATACTTTTAGCATAATATTGATTTTGTGAGATCCAACATATTATTAGGCCAACTTGAGAGGGAAAACAGGCAGAGAAAGGGGCATTGTGATTTAAAGGTGATACGTTGAAATATTCGCATTTGACATTATCGCTTTACATCCTATTCGTGATCGGTGCTGCCAGTGAATTATTGTTTTGCATTAAATTTCTTATCTTCTCTGCCTATGGTATCCGTATATATCAGAGCAATGGATATTCACTTTCCTAACTCGCTTCGTGAGATTCGTCATTGCGTTTGCCGAATAGCATTTCTTCTTCTGGTAACAAGGACTCTACTTATTGATGCACAATGCAATGACGGTAAGCTGACTTCATTTGTTTTTACTTATCTATTCTATGAGACTTTGAGAAGTTCATCATTACCTTTCCCACAGGGATAATGGCCCGAATTCACAAAGGAGGTTTACATTTAATCCATGGTTTAAACCTTCATTTACATAACCCATGGTTTAAACCTTCATTTACATAACCCATGCGCATAATATTCGACCTCTTGACTGTAGGCGGTGTCACACAGAAAAATCCCTTGAAAAATCCTTTCAAGGGAGAATTTTCTTGCTTAGGTATTATGTCCCTTTTGCAGCCAACCTCAAATGCTGTAGAACTTTGTAGGAATTATGAATATGTCATGTATGTCCTATCTGTAAAATTTAAACTTTAGCAGTGTCCTCATATTCAATTTATGCAAGGAAACCCGTTTACTTGCTAGACTTCACTGTCAGACACTATTGAGTGACTGACTGGCTTTTCTTCTTCTTTGGTAATAACATACATGAAAAGAGTTGTAAAGGGTACATGAGCATTTGTCTACATCAATAACCCACTTCTTGTGATGGCCAAGATTAAAGTGATTGAATCTTTGCGCAGCATAAAATGTATGACCATTCGGTACAATTGTCTGAAAATCAAGACTATTACTTTTGAGCTCTATAGCCCTAAAGTCGATTTGACAACTAATAGTCGTTATTTTCCCACTTGAAGACATTTTCAAGCCCCACCTTTCTAGGGAAGTTCTAAAATAGTATTATCTTTCAAATGCAGTTGGAATTTAACCTTTTCATTTTTTTGGCCTGCAAATGGGACATAGTACCTTAAAAGGATTTTGAATGGGATAATTGATGACAGACAGCAATTTAAGAGGATAACTAAAATCCGGATAACTAAAATCCGGATTTTTGGCCTATGTGTGACACCGCCTAATGTGTGTTGCGCTTATTTTGCGCTAGTTTTAAACCATGAATTATGTAAATGAAGGTTGAAACCATGGGTTATGTAAATGAAGGTTTAAACCATGGGTTATGTAAATGAAGGTTTAAACCATGGGTTTAATTTTAAACCTCCTTTGTGAATTCGGGCCAATAAGTTAAAGCATGATCTCAAACACACACACATACACACACACACACACGCACAAAATAAGGCCATGGTAATTTTCATTGGCAGCGTGCGTCAATTTTTCAAATGTGCGAACATGGTGATTTCACATTATCCGATTTCTCTATTGGCTATACCAGCATGCCAGTGTGACTGTGGTATAACAATGGTTTGAAGTCGGTTTGCATGCCAGTGTGACTGAGGTATAACAATGGTTTGAAGTCGGTTTGCATGCCAGTGTGACTGAGGTATAACATTGGTTTGGAGTCGGTTTGCATGCCAGTGTGGCTGAGGTATAGCAATGGTTTGGAGTCGGTTTGCATGCCAGTGTGACTGAGGTATAACAATGGTTTGAAGTCGGTTTGCATGCCAGTGTGACTGAGGTATAACAATGGTTTAAAGTCGGTTTACATGCCAGTGTGACTGAGGTATAACAATGGTTTGAAGTCGGTTTGCATGCCAGTGTGACTGAGGTATAACAATGGTTTGGAGTCGGTTTGCATGCCAGTGTGACTGAGGTATAGCAATGGTTTGGATTCGGTTTGCTTG